GAAAGGAGGACTTTCTTTGAGTTATAGTTACTACTGTCTAATTACCATCAAGGAACACTAACAATACAACAGGTCGAAGTTGAAGAACCGTTTTTTGATAGAAAATCATTTGTTAGGGCTTTTTCTTGCAATATGCGTTTGTCTATTGCTTTATGGGCTGCCTTCTAGGCTTTCTTGACTATGGCTTCGGAGATCAAGTCTCGCATGGGACCGGTGCAAGGTGCGGGTGGAGCACCAGCTGTACGTATCACGGGCTCTCAACCAGTACAGGACAAGAAGAGCGGCGGATGTTGCTAAATGAGATTTGGACAGGACCGAATTTGGAGCGCTGAATTTATTTTTTCTATTTCCTTTTTGTATCCATCCTCCTTAATTGCTAGGTTAACCTTACTATGGTCGCTGTTCATCTTCTCTATCTTTTTTACATTCGCGTTCTAATTTATTCCTTTCTTGTGTTCAAGTGCCCCGGGCACTGTCGCAGACAGTGGAAGTTCTGTATGTCATTCGGTTTACTTGTCTGCACCACATTCTTTTTTTCCAAATCTCCATTTTATTGCATCCAGCTAGTTGGTAAATGTGTGGTGGGATTATTTGGTGGCCTCATAGCTCCGTATTCACACAACTCTTACCGTAGTTGGCTGAACCCCCTAATTCTCATCAATCCTATAAATAGTCGCTCTCATATAATATTTATAAATACCCTGTTTTATCCACCGACTCTCCAATGAAATGTGATTTGTGATTGTGGTCCGAGGAATAAGCGTTGTGCTATGCTTTGTTGCGTGTGAGCTTTTGCCCTCGAATTGAATCCAATTTTTTGAAAATAAAGTTTAACAGATTTTCTTTTTTTCTTAACTTTTCAAGATCTAAAAGCATGCTCAAAGAATTAATCAAAATGCAAAGATTTTCGAACCGAAATTTGCTGAGAAGGTACATTCTAGGATTGTAAACTTTTAGGAAGTCATTTTTGTTGGCGAGAAAAGGGATACCAGTTATGAAGCACTATTATTCTTCTCAGACAGGTTTGATGTGCTCTTTGAGAGAGAAGAAGGGAATTACAATGACCTCATGCGAAAAAGGGCCTCATTTTAAATCCATCATCTCCTGCTCAGAAAGATTAATGCTCAAATGAGTAATTTCCATAAATTATTAAGACATGCTATAACAAGCGAATCTTTGCATAGATGCAAGAAACTTCACCATGGATTTCGTCGATCATTCGGAGGTTGTAGTCTCAAGGAGAAGGGCTTATTCTCCTTGAGAGCTGCTTCATCGAAGTGGTTATTCGATGTTTGATTCATACAAAAAGATGCCTCGAGACGCTGATTTTAAATTCATCATCCATTTTTGCAGAACGCTTTCTGAAAGGAGGTATAGAAGCTTTTCTTTTGTTAAAAGGGCGTGCGTTTGAAAATGCTCAAAATTCCATCTTTTCCCCAGAACTGCAATACAAAGTCACAAAATCTGGATGTTGATGATGCGCTATCGAGAACTCTTTCTTTTTTTTTTTTCAACGTTAAAGTTGATGCCCTAATCGATAAATCGTGCAAGCCATTTCTATCAAAAATAAGCTGTCAACTTTTTCCTTGGAAAACGTTTTGCAGTAGAAGAGTGGAATTATTTTTTCGACTTGCATCATCCAGCAATTATATCTTCTTCCGAATGAACACTCCGACTAAATCTGCTCTCTTCGTGGATGCAAGTGGAACAAACTTCCTCCTCTTGGCAGCAATTCGCTGCTACTCAT